TGTTTGAAGCAGTGAACATCTAATTAAGAGTGAATGTGTAGCACAGCTCATGCTATCTAAGGAGTGGCAATTTAACACGCCTTTCTTAATACATGTCCACCCACATTCATTTGCTCTTATTTCTCAAGAAATGCTTTGCAACTGACTTGTGTTTAGATATGCAAATGCTAGCTAGCACTTGTGATAATTTGGTCCAGATTTTAACTACCTAGATTTAAAAATAAGAAGGTTAACTGGGGAGAAGATGCTATCCCTGGTGTGTTCTTTGTAAGTAATGATAGAAAACTACCAAAGAAAGAGATGTTTCAAGTCTCTAAGAGATTGCTCTCCTTAGAGTTGCTAGTATTTTTATATCCTCAAGCTGTCCCTTTAATAGAAATGTTATTCACAATTCAGAAAGAGTGCACAGCATCAACCTTGCAGCTTTGTATCTGTGGACTGACTCAGGACACAGTGTGACAGGGAAACGTGCACACAGATTTGCCTTAGTGAAGGCTGCCCAGAAAGCCTTGCTGGGGTTTTGTATATATTTGAGAATTTGAGAATGTTTTTGTTTTGTTTTACATTCTTATAGAAAAAGAAATCAAAATATTTCAAAAATTAAAATACAAATGTAAAACTTCAAATATCTCTAAAATGGAATATGTACTGTGATGTCCACATAATACTGTTTGATGTAGACTTTCAGAAAATGCCAAGTTCTCAGATTTACATTCCACGTGTGGCCATTACTGATGTAAAAAAATATATATAATCTGACCATAAGATAGTTGCACAGTGAGGACCTCAATTTAAAAAATAAATTTGAGCCCGGCTGCTGTGGCTCAGTGATTGAGCGTTGACCCATGCACCAAGAGGTCGCTGGTTCGATTCCCGGTCAGGGCACATGCCCAGGTTGTGGGCCTGATCCCCAGTGGGGGGCATGCAGGAGGCGGCCGATCGATGTTCTCTCTTATTGATGTTTCTATCTCTCTCTCCCTCCGCCTTCATCTCTCTCTCAAATCAATAAAGAAAAAAAAATTTGAGCTTTTAGCATAGAAGCAAAATACATTTCCATCAAGGTGAACAACTTATTAATTTGAGGGTTAATTTTCAAAATGTGAACATAAACATGTCTCTTTTTATTATTCATGTCAGATTGATATTTCTTATATTGTTAATGTTATTTTCCATATGAGAAGTAATAGACACTGACTAAGGTGCAGTGTGTAGGAAGCGGGGAGACTGACGTTGGAACTCTCAGAATCCACAAGGCCTGCTGATGCTGGGGCTGCAGGAGGAGACCATGAGTTCTCTCCTGCCCAGCATTCTGTATTGGAAGCCAGGCCTCCTCTCCAAGCAAGGATTTCTACCACCTGGTCATCACCACAACTGAGGTTATCTGGAAGTCATGGATGATTTCTCTCTGTCTGGAACAAGAGAGGTGAGGAAACCCCACAAATTTCCTGCTAAGCAAGTGACTGCCGGGCAGGTGCAGGAAGTGTTTGGGAAAGAGCTGGATTATTCTCTGAATCTGAGTCGGGGAAATCTAATTTGCTGGTTCACATGCCTGACAACATAATCCTGCAGATCTTCTCTTTCTTTAATTTGGATGACATTGGACAGCTGTCAGAAACCTGCAGATAATTCCAAAAGATGTGTAACAGTGAAGAACTCTGGAAGAAATGTATAGGAGAAAAATGCTTTTGCTACAAAGATAAGGATATCCATTTATAAGAAGCTGCTAGTTTTCCACCAAAATGTGGCCCAACAGAAGATCACACAGAGAAGACGGATGGCATTTTTCTAAACTTAACTGAAGTAACAAAATATAAAAATAAGAATTTTTCCCTGGCCAGTTTGTTCAGTGGTTAGAGCGTCGGTCTGCGGTCCGGAGAGACCGGGGTTTGGTTCCCGCTAAGGGGGCGTACGTACCTCAGTTGCAGTTTGTCCCCAGCCCTGGTTGGGTTGTGCGGGTGGCAGCCTCTCAATGTGTCCCTTTCATGTAGATGTTTCTCTCCTCTTTCTCTTCTTCTCTCCCCTTCCCACTCTATCTGAACAAAAAATGGAAAAATGTCCCCAGGTGAGGATAAAAAAAATAAATAAGGATTTAAACTGAACTTTTATATAACAGTTATTACCATTAGATCTTGCTTGTAGCTGAGACTGTGGATTTAAGTTGGATACTTTAAGAAAAACCCTCTTGATTCTGATTATTGTTCTGAAAATAACCTTATTTTCTCTCTCTCTCTCTCTCAAAAAAAAAAAAAAAAAAAAAGCCACAAGTAGAGTTGCCGTTATTCTGGGGAGAGTGACAGCTTAAATGTATTAACATAACTCATGTTTGTTTTTTGTTTTGTTTTTTGTTTTTGTTTTTATATTTTGTTCAGATAGAGTGGGAGAGAGAGAGAGAGAGAGAGAGAGAGAGAAAGAGAAACATCGATGTGAAAGGGACACATCGAGTGGCTGCCACCCTCACAACCCAACCAGGGCTGGGGACAAACTGCAACCGAGGTACGTGCCCTTAGCGGGAACCGAACCCGGGTCTCTCTGGACCGCAGGCCGATGCTCTAACCGCCAGGGCCATAACTCATGTTTTGAGAGCTAAAATTGTTATAATAAATGGTTTTCCTTTTGTCAACATGATCCCTTTGAGTTTTAAAAAAATTAGACATATATATATACCTGTATCTCTCTCTCTCTCTCTCTCTCTCTCTGTGTGTGTGTGTGTGTGTGTGTGTGTGTATCTTTGTCCCTTTGCCAAGGCATGACCTATAGCTGAAACATTTCAGCTGGCAGAGATAAAAGTGAATGCACATACCCAGGTGTCTAGGGTGCAGCCCAAAGCGTCCTACCCAAGTAGGGAGTTTTCTTTTATTCTCCTGTTTTCTCTTAATTCTTGTGACTATTTTACTTTCAATTTCAGTGTCCTCATTTAAATATATAAATAATGACCACATTTATTAAACATTAAATCACTTTCATTTTCCCTAAAATAGTTGAGTAAATTCGATGCTCCCAGATGGTCACTGTGAGAACCACCTTCCCCTCTCTTGGTTGACTATGACCTCCTTGAGTAAAAAACCTTCTTCTTATTCCTTTCTATATCCCCAATATCTAGCAGAGTATTGGGTATAGAGTTGTTATCAATAAATGTGTGCTTGTGTTGAATGTATGCTTTTGTACCCTATTAGAGTGTATGTATGATGTTTTATAGATTATTGAACGATAGCATGTCTACATTAGGAACATGCTTTTATATTCCAAAAAAAAAAGCCTCTGTGTGAAAAAAAAAATATGTCTATGTTTTTGGTTCTTAACCTTTAACTTGATTTATTGAGAGGTCTGGACCATGTGTGTGTAAGAGTAATTCCTCTTTGAATACAGTGCTCTACGGTCAGCATCAGGATTTTCTGACCTGAAGTTTTCCTATTGCTGGAGTATTTAGACATTCTATATGGTTCCTTTTGCATATTTTCATGGTTATTTTTTTTTATATCTCCTATTTTTGACTTCCCTCTATCTCATATTTCTTTAAATTTGATGAGCATATTTATTTCATGATAACTATACTTATGTCTGATTCTGTAACTTGTTTTCTTTGGCACATGAGCTCATAGTAGTGGATTGTTACATATTGTGATTTTTATCGTCTTTTATTTACTTTAATATGTTTTTATTGATTTTAGAGAGAGAAAGGAAGGAAGAGGGAGAGAGAAACATTAATCGGTTGCCTCCCACATGCACCTTGACTGGGATCAAACCATAACCTGGGCATGTACCCTGACTGGGAATCGAACTGGTGACCTTTCAGTGCATAGGATGATGCTCAACCAACTGAACCACACTGGCCAGGGCCATATTATGATTTTTAATTGTGAATCCATGTTCCCTGGAATTTTATCTGTGCAATTTCTTTGAGGCCTGGTTTAAAGCGTCTTCTTTGTGTTCCCTTGTTCACTGCCTGGGATGATTTTAAATTGCATTGTGGATTTCTGAGCCACATGTTTGATTTCTGGCTCTAGTCCAGTGTAAATGCAGGCTTCTGGCTGGAATTTGCCCTTCCCCTTCAATTCCCTCATCCACCCAGATCCAAATACTAAAACCCATACAGGTTTCTCCACTATCTCACTTGATTGATTTCTTTCTCTTTATACCCATGAAAATGTCACTCTTTGGGGCTTTTCAAATCACAAGGAATCTTTGATCGAATCCCCACTCACAGTGGCTGCAGCTTTATGTCCTATCTGTGTACCCCGGCACCTGGTCTCATCCTTCTAGTTAACACCGATTTGGGAAATCTCACCAGGATTGGCAGATGCCCCTAGGGCAAAGGTACAGCATGAGATGGGGGTTCGAAGTAGGAGCCTATGGTGGTGGGGAGTGGTCGCTGACCTGTTTGAAATGTGTTTTCTCTTTGATTTTGATCTCTGGAGAATTTCCTTTTCTTGTTTTTCATAGGTATTTGCAAAAATAATATTAAAATTCTTTCATTTGCACTTAGGAGAAATCGGAAGGGGTCTCTACTCATCTAGTTTGTTGGAAACGATAAGCTCTTGAATGTTTGCTGTGTTGTAAGGCATGCTATTGACCCTCACACTAGAAAGCATGACCATCCTTTTCGATAATGGAAAGGATTCTTTCAATTATCCTTACTCTTTATCTAGGTCGTCTGGTGGCAGGCATTTTCATGGTGACTGAAATTCTTGGAGTGTCTGTATTCTTATCTGTAATAAAATAGTATTGGACTAAAGGATCTTTATGCATCCTTCTGCTCTAAAGTTTTTTTGACTCCATGACCCTGAACCACTACATTTTTTTTTTTTTTTTTTCTGATTTTCAATTTTCGTCCTTAACGATGATTCAGCTGAAGTCACCGACCCAGTTACCATGCCTTATAATTCCAGGAAATTGTTCTCTGTCTTTGTGTGTGTGTGTGTGTGTGTGTGTTTTCCTACTCTATATTGCCTTATGTCTTGATCTTTTTCAGCTTTCACCCATATTCTGTGTTCCTCCCACAGGTTGCTTCTCTGGGCGTCACAACCTTCACTTTGTGTGCTCTGTGCATAGACCGCTTCCGGGCCGCCACCAACGTGCAGATGTACTACGAAATGATTGAGAACTGTTCTTCCACAACTGCCAAGCTTGCTGTCATATGGGTTGGTGCTCTCCTGTTGGCGCTTCCAGAAGTTGTTCTTCGCCAGCTGAGCAAGGAGGATTTGGGCTTGAGTGGCCGAGCACCTGCAGAGCGCTGCGTTATCAAGATCTCGCCTGACCTGCCAGACACCATCTATGTTCTGGCCCTCACCTACGACAGCGCGAGGCTCTGGTGGTATTTTGGCTGTTACTTCTGTTTGCCTACACTTTTTACCATCACCTGCTCCTTAGTGACTGCGAGGAAAATCCGCAAAGCGGAGAAAGCCTGCACGCGAGGGAATAAGCGGCAGATTCAGCTAGAGAGCCAGATGAACTGCACAGTCGTGGCTTTGACCATTTTATATGGATTTTGCATTATTCCTGAAAATATCTGCAACATTGTTACTGCCTATATGGCAACAGGGGTTTCCCAGCAAACAATGGACCTTCTTAATATCATCAGTCAGTTCCTGTTGTTCTTTAAGTCCTGTGTCACCCCAGTCATCCTGTTCTGTCTGTGCAAACCCTTCAGTCGGGCCTTTATGGAGTGCTGCTGCTGTTGCTGCGAGGAGTGCATTCAGAAGTCTTCCACAGTGACCAGCGACGACAATGACAATGAATACACCACGGAACTGGAACTCTCACCTTTCAGTACCATCCGCCGTGAAATGTCCACTTTTGGTTCTGTTGGAACTCATTGCTGAAGGACGTTTGGTTTGGGTAGATTTCTTTGTTTGATTTTCATACCCTGTGAAAGTTTTTACTTTATATTTTTCCTTACTGGGAAATAAAAAATGCAAAAAAAAATGAAAATAAAAAGAGGGAAATGTTAACTACTGTAGAACTGATTTTGCAGATTAATATTTGTGCTTTGAAAAAAAATGTTTATATTTAGTTATTTAAGAGGTATGAGGAGGCCAATAGTTTTAGGTCATTTTATCTGGTATGGTGCTAATATTTTATTTTTTAAAAGTTATTGCACCTTAACTAACTGCTAATTTTTTTTTTTTTATAATCATTGTATATTGATTATAGCCATGTGGTTTTGTAGGTTATATTATGTTTGAGATGTGACTGAAAGTATATTGTATATAGTATAATGAGATGATTTGTAGAAAAGAAACATTCACAAAGTAGCACCAAATAAATTACACTTTATTCTTTAATGTCATTGTCAATCTACTTTTAACCAATTTTCAATAAATCTTTTAATTGCCTTAAATACAAAATTACTGGTTCTATGCACAACTTAAAATTGGCCTTATTGTTTTATAATTTTATTTTCCTTTAAGACAGGTAATCATTGTGTTATAAAGTCTTAATACAGTAGTACTATTTTATGTGCATGACTCATAAAACTATACCATATGTTAAAACAAATTGTATTTTTAATATTTAGATACAGATGTAAAATTACTTCCAAACATTTATAAAATATGAATAAACAGACAGCAGAGTAGGATGAAACTTTTTTTTATTTTTTTTATTTAACCTTTGAATTAGCATGTAGAGTTGATGGATTTCCTACGAGGAATAATGATCAGAATCAAGCACTGAAATACAATGCACTTGTCATCTGCTTTCCTCTGAACACTGACCTGTGCAGCACTATGAACCTTATGTGATACTCTCTGAATTCTAAATTTTCTCCTTGATTAAATCTGTGTGATTTAATTTTTTTAAGTAGAATGAAAGTACAGTAGTGGAGTAATAAAATATTTATGTATCTTTTTGTGCTTGTCTGTTAATCCTCACTGGAGGATTTTTTTTTCATTGATATTTTAGAGAGAGTGAAAGAGAGGGAGGAAGGGGAGAGAGAAAGGGAAACATCGATGTGAGAGAGACATACTGATTGGTTGCCTCTGCACACATCCTGACGAGAGCTAAGGATAGAACCTGCAACCCAGGTATGTGTCCTTGACTGGGACTCAAACTCATGACCCTCCAGTGTACGGGCCCATGCTCTAAACACTGAACCATGCAGGCCAAGGCTATTTATGTATCTTGATTAGAACACTTGAATATTCAAATGCTACCTTTAAATTGGTATTCCCTGAACTTCCAACAACAACAAAAAACCCTCTCTATTTGAATAATTTGAATTCCTTAAGGAGTTCAAGTTGTAGCAGCTGTATAGGATGCCTGCCATGTGGGGCACACGTCTAAACCAGATGGCAGAGGCAGTGACCTAGTGACCTAGTGTGGCAGTGTGGTTTTAATGTCTGTGTTCAGAAAGCATATAGGAGAATCCGGTGTTCTGGCTGGAAAATGCCTGTGTGTTTTCTGCTTGTCAGTTTCTGTACTATTTGGCATAACTGAATAGCAATGTCTTTCTTCCACATTATAACATGATGTTATTTAAACTCATTATTTTTAGTGCTAGAAAAATAAAAATATTTAATCCAGACTATTCATCTTTCACATGAAACCTGGACTATGACAGTGCCCAGAATATTTCCTTTTTCTCAGCCAGTACTATTCAGAATGACTTTTCCCCCTTACTATCTGTGTTCTAAGGGATTTGAAGGAAAATAACAAGGCATCATTGCCTTCTTAAAGATCCCTGTAAAATGTCTTTGGGAAACTTCTCAAGGATGCCGGAACTAGGGTTTGGCTGCTGAGCACATCAACAATTGTGATGCCCTAGGGTCTCTCATAATATTTAGTCAGCTTTATAAATAAAGTAACATTGACTGAGCACATGGTATAGGAAAGGTTCTATGCTATTACCTGCTGTGAATAAAAGTAAATAGAGCTTAGGGCCGGACTTTACAAAACCAGGCAGTGGTGAGATGGGAAGGAAGGAATAAGACAAATAAATCAACAACTGTGATATAAGGTGGGACTTGTTAGGAAGGTATGAAGTTCTAGGATAGTTCAGAGCACATCAGCACCAGGAAAGGCTTTAGGAGGTAACTGGATGATAGGCCATCAGGAGTTGATGGAAGGTAGTAGGAGGAATGGACACTTCAGGACAAGAGAGCTAAGCAAACAAAGGACTAGAGGAAGACATCATGTGTGGTTGAAGAATAAATGAAAAGTCCAGTTTGGTTCCTATGCCATCTGTGCATAAAAACCTCATGGAAAATACTGATGAAAATATGCATTGAGACCATATTACAAAAAGGGATGGCCTTATGTCTTTGGCATTCTAGTTCTGTGTTCATGTGAGAGGCCCTGCCCTTCCTCTGCTCCATACTATGTGTTCCTTCCTTAGCGTCAGGTATGGAGCTTCCTCGCCCCTACGTTCACACCTGGTCCTGAACGGAACACATTTGCAAGGAGCTTGATTCCTCTGAAACACTGAAAATACTTCTGTTCAATAACGTTTTTCCTCTAAACCTTCCCCCTCATTTTAAAACCAAATGGACTTTTTTTCAGTCTTCCACCACTCTCCAAGGTAACATGTTAAGGTTTCTACTTCACATTTTGAATTCATCTTGCATTTTAAAGTATTCTTCAATTACTTTCTGTTGGTTTGGCTCCCTATGTTATTTTTCTAGGCAGCACATTCCAGTATATCTGATTGCAGCTGGTCTTTTTCATAAAGAAAGAAGGGAAAGCATATTAAAAGTTTCTACAATTTTACAATCATGTTTCATGAATGTCCCTTCCCTCTTTCTGTAAATAGAAAAAATATGTTATATTTTCTTTGTCCTGGTCCTTTAGTGAATGCGACTGAAGAGTATTTATTGAACTCCCCTTTGCCCTGCTACCGCCATTGTCAGCCTCTGAATTTGAAATCACTCAACATAGGACCTATAATAGATGGAAATTACATTACTGTAGAGCTGAAAGTCATCTCAGAGTCTTCCAATATTACTCAGATCTTTATATATACAGAGCTGAGTCTCTGAGAAGTTTACTGACTTACACAAAGTCACATAATTTGACCCTGGTTAAATATTGATTTAGCATAAAAATTCTAATAGCCCTGGCCAGTTGTCTCAGTTGGTTGGAATGTCACCCCATACACCAAAGGGTTGTGGGTTCGATTCCCGGTCGGGGCATGTATCAGAGGAATCTGATTGATGTTTCTCTCCTGCATCAATGTTCCTCTCTTTTTTCACTCTCTCTCAAAATTAATGGAACATATGATCCTCGGGTGAGGGTTAAAAAACAAACAAACAATTATAAGAATAGAAGATCTCCTTCTTTAGGAACTGTAAATAATAATTCATTTTACTTGACCAGTACACTCACAGCAATTTTTGAAATACTATCTTGATTTGGATAACACATACTAGGTGTTCAATAAATATCTGCTCAATGAGAGAATAAACAAATATTTAAACTGAAAGAACATGGAGAAAATATTGTTTAGCAAACTATAGATGGAAAACCAGGACTGAGTTAAGAAGCCCTGACAAAAGAAAAATAAGAAAGTATAGTTTTCTTGTAACAGTGTTCAGACCATAAAATTAGCAGTCCAGCAATCAAAGGATATGCATATCTATGGCCATATACATGGTACATGTCCGAGACAAATTATAGCATCTGGGTGCTACAATGAAATCTTCAGGCTTCTCTGTCTCAAAGTCAAGTCCAGGTACCCTAAAACCACTTTAGTTCTTCGCTCATTTTCTCCTGTCCCTCATTCCCTCCATTCACGTAGTTAAACCCTATACGCCAGGCACTTTGCTAAATCCCAGGGACATAACAGTGTGTGAATTAGATAAAATGCAGTCCCTTTGGAGTTAACAGTTTGCAACTGTTAAACATTATTTCATCCATCAACTATTTAGCAAACATGTGAGTAGTGTGGAGAAAGAAGGATTCAGAAAGAAAAGTGCTCTGAGAGTATGTGATAGGGGAACCTGACCTAGTGGTGGCCTCAGAGAAAGTTTGAGGAAGTGCCAGGAACGGATTAGAGGTGGCCAAGGGATGAGCCACACAGGGGAAGTACTTATTAAGGCCCTTTGTGAAGACAGAGCAAGTTTGGCAACCGGAAAGGCCAGGGAAGGCTGGCTGCAAACAACCAAGGCAAGCATGCAGTGGTAGCGTGAGGCCAGAGTTTGAATGGAAAGAATCTCTGTTCAACTTCAATGGATTTCTGTTGCGTGGAGGTAGAATAAATTCAATTTATCAGTGTTACACTGACCTTCTATGGTTCATGGGAGACCACTTATCACTGTTATTAGAAAACCAACTTCTTATATATTTAAATCTAACAATCTCAATGTTTAGTCTTGATTTTTCATTATAATTCACTGAATGTGCTTCCACACATATACCTCGGATATCTCAATCTGAAATGGAATAACAATTCATTGATTGAAGAAACTGTATTGCTGTAAGTAGAAGATAATTATTTACTATCATAGCTATGAGATCTTTTGATCCATAGAACTCTGATGCTAAATCAATTTTCCATTGCATTCTATAAATCTGTAGAGGATTAGAAGTCTTTTGGCTCATTTGAAGATTGATTTAAAAAATAGTGCGGCGTAGTCAATCTTGACATGATCATTCTCTTGTACTAGTAATACTGGAATCAACCACATGGCTGTTAAATGACATTTACATTTCCTGTTAGTCTATTGTTGTCAATTCTACAAACTGGAGTTGATACAGTCGGCCCTCGTTTATCACAATTAATCAGTTTCAGACTCTACTGCAATAAATGAATTTTCATAAAATAGGATTCTTAATTTATAAATTAAATATTTTCACACTTAGAGCATAGAAAACCTGTTTGCGACCTTCTAAATATGTTTTTTAACATTACTAGAGCCCTCTAGACATGAAATAACATGCTTTAGTCACCATTATACTTGTATTACCCAATATATTATACAAAATACGAAAATAAAACATATTAGACATTACAAATATCATATTATTATTATTGTACATTTAATTACACACACACAGTTCTTACACACAACCACTAACCTATGAAAATAGTGCAACTTGTTCAGTGATGAAGCGATGAAAATGAAGAGATGTACTGCACAGCAAAGAAGAGCAAGGTTACTGCTCCTCTGAAGGCACGACCTCAGCAGGAGAGTCTTCAGGTGGTGCAGTATCTTCAGCAGGTGCGTTGTCATCTTCTTCCGCTGAAGGAGCACTAGAATAGGCAGTGGGTGTCTGGGTGCACAGCTAAAGAAGATCGTGCGTGATAGGCATTTGCTGGCGCTGTCTTTTCATATGTGTGAGGAGGCTTTTGTAGG